GGAACTGACACGCACTAAAAAAAAAAAAAAAAAAAGGCGTGCTTAGTTCCCCGCCCTTCCTCCCCTCGGCGATGCGGCTGTCTGTGGGTACGCTGGGGCTCCCCCGGTTAACCGGCGGTTGCTCTCAGATGCCCCTCCAAAGCCTATGGGTTCTCGTCGTCTATGGCGACAGGATTCTGTAGAGCGGCGGGACAGGCAGCCTCCGCCCTGCATATGATGAGCACCTACAGAGCTAGCTGCTCAGGAATGTGCACGAGGAGGTGACGGACCAAGCGAGCTGCGAGCCTGCCGCCTACCTTGTCCTTAAACGGGTCACGGAGGCGGTCGCTCGCTCCCTTGGTCAGGTGATGCCCACCGCTGTGGTCCAGGAGCATCATAATGTTCGGCGGTGCGGTCCAGGACTTTGCCCAGCACTTCTCGACCGCCTAGGAGCAGACGAAGGCGGTTTCTCTGCCCCGACGGCCAGCTGCTGCCTCCAACCAGCCGTCGGCTCGGACGCCTCCGCCAGCTCGCCGCCGAGGACGCCCCCCTGCGGCTCCCTTCCCTCCCACGCGGCCCCAGCAGCAGCCTTCAGCCGGTTCGCGTCGTGGAGGAGGCCACAGGTAAGCGTCCCAAGGAAAGAGCCCCCCCTCAGGCCGCGTGCCCCGCTAGACGCCAGGCGAAGCGATGTTCCTGAGGCGGGCCGCTCAGTGATAGTGTCATGGTTTTTCTCAGGAGGCGGTGGCAGGGCCCCTCCTTCCCCGGTGGAGGGCCGGTGGAGAATCTTTTGTTCTAGCTAGCTCCCTGAGCTGGTTGAGGAAAGCTGACACTGTCATTGAGCACACAGACTGGAATGAGCGCGCACGACGTCCAGTGCGTCGCCCCGTTCATTCCTCTCTGTCTCGGAGGGCGCGGAAGGGTGCGTGTGTCGTCCCCGGGCTACGCCAATCCCTTCCCCCTCTGTCGCCAGACCCCCGGCAGAACAGACCCCCGTGGAACGCTCTGCCTTCCCTGGTCTCTTCTGTCGGGGAGCGGGTTTCGACGGTGCATCCGGACGGGGTAACTCCTGCACGCATGCCGGTCGACCCGCCTCGCTGCCCCTCCGGGGGGACGTCTGTGGTTCGCATGACCCCGTTGGCTCACTTCCTGGAAGCCTGGCTAGCGCTTCCCGGGGTTCCCGCTGGGTCATCAGAACGATCGGATTCGGCTACGCGATTCAGTTCGCACGGTCTCTTCCCCGCTTCAGGGGAGTTCGCTCCACGATGGTTGGTGGCAATGCCCCAGTCTTGAGAGCGGAGATTGCGACCCTGCTGGCGAAGGGTGCAATCGAGACGGTCCCTCCAGCCGAGGTGAGGTCCGGGCTTTACAGCCCCTACTTCATTGTCCCCAAGAAAGACCGGTGGGTTACGACCGATCCTGGACCTGCGCATTTTGAACCGTTCTCTCCATCGACTACCGTTCAAAATGCTCACGGCCAAACGCATTTTCGAATGTGTTCGGTATCAGGATTGGTTTGCAGCGATCGACCTGAAGGACGCGTACTTCCATGTCTCCATTCTCCCTCGACACAGACCGTTTCTTCGGTTTGCCTTCGAGGGCCAGGCATACCAGTACGCCGTTCTCCCATTCGGGTTAGCTCTGTCCCCTCGCGTCTTCACGAAGATCGTCGAGGCAGCCCTTGTTCCCCTTCGCGAACACGGGGTTCGCATCCTGAACTATCTCGACGACTGGCTGTTACTAGCACACTCTCGAGCTCAGGTTTGCGAACACAGAGACCTGGTGCTACGGCACCTAGCCCGTCTGGGCCTTCGGGTCAACCGGGAAAAGAGCAAACTTTGCCCCGTGCAGAGGATCTCTTTTCTCGGCATGGAGATAGACTCGGTCGCCATGTCCGCGCAGCTCACGAACGAGCGCGCGCACTCACTGCTGGCTTGTCTTCGACAGTTCGAGGGCAAGAGTGCGGTTCCACTGAAACTTTTCAGAGGCTCCTGGGACATATGGCATCCGCGGCCGCGGCAACGCCGCTCGGTTTGCTTCATATGAGACCGCTTCAGCTGTGGCTTCGCGATCGAGTCCCGAGGTGGGCATGGCATCGCGGCTCGCTCCGAGTTCCAGTGACTCCGACGTGCCGCCGATCCTTCTTCCCGTGGTCGAACCTCAGCTTTTTACGGACAGGGTCCCTATTCAGCGAGTTTCCAGGCATCTCGTTGTCTCCACGGATGCGTCTACCACGGGTTGGGGTGCCATGTGCAATGGGCATGCAGCCGCCGGTTCCTGGACAGGAGCCCAGCGCCTCATGCACATCAATTGCCTCGAGCTGTTGGCAGTACGGCTCGCCCGGCACCGCTTCCGAGCGTGCTCTAGGGCCAGCATGTGCTTGTCCGCTCAGACAACACTACGGCAGTAGCGTACATCAACCACCAGGGGGGGTCTACGCTCGCGCCGGTTGTCGCAGCTCGCCCGCCACCTCTTGATATGGAGTCAGAAGCACCTGAGGTCCCTTCGTGCAGTTACATTCCTGGAGACCGGAATCGGGCAGCCGCGAGCTGTCCCGGGCCCGTCCCATCTCCGGCGAATGGCGACTCCATCCCCAGTCGGTCCAGCTGATTTGGGAACAGTTCGGGGAGGCACAGTTAGACCTGTTCGCCTCTCGGGACTCGTCCCACTGCGCCCAGTTATTCTCTGACCCGCGGCTCTCTCGGCTCGGATGCGCTGGCGCACAGCTGGCCACGGGGCCCACGCAAGTGTGCGTTCCCCCAGTGAGCCTCCTTGCACGGGTGTTGTGCAAGATCAAGGAGGACGAGGAGCAGGTCTTGCTGGTAGCCCCCTACTGGCCCACCAAGACGTGGTTCTCCGAACTCTTGCTCCTCGCGACAGCACCTCCTTGGCCTATTCCTCTGAGACCGGACCTACTCTCTCAGAGACGGGGCACTCTGTGGCACCCTCGTCCCGATCTTGGAGGCTGCACGTGTGGCTCCAGGACGGGACGAGGCAGGTTTGAGTTCGCTGCCACCTGCGGTGGCGGCAACCATCACTTCCGCAAGAGCGTCGTCCACGTGACACCTTTATGCGTTGAAGTGAAACCTCTTCGTCAATTGGTGTTCTTCTCGCTGAGAAGACCCGGAGATGTTCGATCGGAGTCATGCTTCCTTCCTGCAAGAGGGGTTTGTAGCGCAGGCTGTCGCCCTCCACCCTTTGGATTATGTCGCGGCCATTGCCGCGTCTCATGATGCAGTGAAAGGTAAGTCTATGGGAAGCATGACCTGGTCATCAGGTTCCTGAGGGGAGTGAGGGGGCTAAATCCGCCTCCCTCCCCTCCTGCCCTCTGGGGACCTCTCAGTAGACCTGGGTGCTCTGCAGAGGCCTCCCCTGGAGCCTTTGCAGTCGGTAGAGTTTTTGCCCTGTCCTATGTGACAGCACTCCTGATTGCATTGGTATCCATCAGGAGAGTAAGGGACCTGCACGCACTCTCTGTTGACGAAGTGTGCCTGGAGTTCGGGCCGGCTTACTCTCACGTATTCCTGAGACCCCGGCCTGGATATATGCCCAAGGTTCCTACCACTCCCCTCCGGGACCTGGTGGTGAACCTGCAAGCGCTGCCCTGGAGGAGGCAGACCCAGCCTTGGCACTGCTCTGTCCGGTACGTGCTCTCCGCACCTATGTCGACAGAACGCAGTGTTTCAGGACCTCAGACCAGCTCTTTGTCTGTCATGGGGGGAGCCAGAAGGGAAGGGCTCTCTCAAAGCAACGGCTGTCCCACTGGATAGTGGATGCCATTGCTTTGTCTTACCAGCAGCAAGGCCTTCCGTGCCCCCTTGGTGTGACGGCCCATTCCACTCGGAGTGTAGCCTCCTCTTGGGCTTTAGCGCACGGCGCCTCGCTAACAGACATCTGCAGAGCTGCAGGCTGGGCGACACCCAACACCTTCGCCAGATTCTATAATCTGCGAATTGAGCCGGTATCCTCTCACGTACTCGTTTCGGCCAGTTCTGGATCCGCTCAGGTGTCTTCGCTTGCTCGCCACTCCACTCCCCGGACTGGATAAGTGCGATATTTCCTCAGTTCTTCCATTGAAGTCTTGAGTCCTCCAGCACCGACGATGCGGGCACCACTGCGTTGCTCTGGATGCTAGCTAGGTGCCTCCATGCGCACGGTTCCCCATGGTAACCGTCTCATGTGTATTATCCACTGTAAGCCTCTCTGAGCATGTGTCTTCCCTTGGCAAGCCATCTGCCACCCCTGGAGTTTAAATCAGTAGCCACCTGCGGTTGGTACTCCAGTGTTCCATATGCGTTCCTATGTGGCCATATGTGTATTCTTAAGTCCTCCCTTCGGTAGGCAGCTGGTAGCATGTCCCCTTCGGGATATGTTCCCAGTGTACCTTGGTAATCCTGTGTCAAAGTCGGATCCCCAAAAAAAAAAAAAAAAAAAGAGGTAAGGCTCGGGGGTTCAGTCTTTCGCAGGGCACTGGAAGACAGCTTGAAGATGGCGTGATGGCACAGACCCCCAATCTCCGTCACTTCTGACGTAACTCGAAGTGACTACGATAGGGAACGTCTCGGTTACGTATGTAACCCTCGTTCCCTGAGTAGGGAACGGAGACGTTACGTCTCCCTGCCACTTCTGCTGTATCGCTGGGTAGAGGCCGAGTTCAGTCTTGGCTCCTCAGCGAAGACATACTGCGGTTGCGTTCACTTCCTCCTTTTATACTCACGGAGTAGGGCGGAGTACGCTATGCAAATTTCCGCAGCCCCAAGGCATTGCATGCCATTGGCTCGTGTTTTAATACTCGAAGAGGATTGGCTTTCTATGCGAAACCCCCAATCTCCGTCACTTCTGACGTAACGTCTCCGTTCCCTACTCAGGGAACGAGGGTTACATACGTAACCGAGACGTTTTCCTGTGTACTTGAATAAATAAATGCATGGTAGGTAAGCAAAACTACTGTGTCTGTGTGTTTTCTGTAATGGGTAGGGATAAGGGATGAAATATACAGTTTGCACAGTATAAAAATCATTTTCAATGGAATGTGCCCATTAAACATAACGTGTCTGTGTGTTAAAACAAAGAGTGCAGCAGGAAGTTGACGTGAGAGTATTACTCACAGGAAGTGCCTCAGCCTTGTCCAAATACAATGCCATGATGGCTGCTGAGGGTGGCTTTGCTGTTTTACTCACCACACTTTCATTTCTCTTCAAAACCTGAGTGAAAGAGAGAGAGAAAAAAATGAGGGCAAAGTAGGGCGGAGCGAAGCTACTGTCAAAACTCCTGTTTGAAGTTGCTCTGTTTGTTAAGTATGTAAAGTAAGCTTTCTGTCATGTTCAAAGATTATTGGGTTTTGTTAAAAGGTGGAGTACATGAACACACTGTTTGCATGTGTGGAAAACATAGCACACCCATTTCCCAGAATCCCCCCTGTGTTCTGTGTTTGTACGGTTTTACAAGACCTCTGTCAGTCTTCCTGTGTCGGCTTCTAGTGTCAGCCACTCCAGTCTGAGGTGAACCCGCCCTGTAGGGGTGTCCTTCAAAGTGAACCACTAAGAAGAGGACATTAAAACATCAAATAATCAGCCATGCAAAATTCTACAATATGAGACCGACATATTGAAATAGATAATAAAAGACACAAATATTCCACAAACAAGCCAGTCATTATTGCAAAATAACAGAGTGATACAAGACTGAATCGAGGCACAGATCACCTTGTCAGAGGTTTATTTCGCAGCTCAGCGTACAGTGGTACGACATCAGTGTTATTAAATGTAATTTATTCTTATAATATTATAAAACATATATGACACGCTACTGTAAGCAAATAAGACATGCTGCTGCTGTGCATACATGAACTACCCATAGCATATCTAAAAAGAAGGAGCTGGGGAAGGTGGAGGGTTTCTGAAAGTGTACTGCAAACTGCTACAGAAAACACTGACTAAGTATTTGAAAGTTGAGCAGCGAGCTCATTGGCTACTGATGTGACAGGAACCAATCAGCTGTGCCCTGTCAGCCTGCACCATCTAGAGATTCATGACAGAACTTTTTATTTCAGTCATTACTAGGGCAGTTTTTCGACTAATATTTCTATAATACTTAAAAGTTTTAGAGAATGACGAGGGATATGAAACTAGAAAGAAAATCAGAAATATAAAGTTTTGCTACATTAAAATATTTGCTTGCAGAATTCCTTGATGAACCAAACAGAATCAAGCATTCAGGCATGTGATCATTTTACTTATAAATAAATAATAATAATTGTAATATACATTGGTTTTAGTGGTTTGAAGTTTCATCAATATAGATTTCATGTCACTTGTGGCTTAAGTTATGCACACACTTGCAAATCAAATCAAGTTAAACACGCAAACACACACACATTATCTAAATGTTCTCACCTCATCAACTATTTTAGATTTCTTCACAATCCCCAAGTCTAATTTTGTCCTGAACACAAGTGAGATAAAGAGAATCAACACAACGGTGAGAATAGAGATCAGCAAACAATAAAAAACACAAATCATGAGTTTATGGTAATGGTGGCTTATGGTAGGACACTATAACTGATGTTCAGAAGATGAAAACCTAGAACAGATCTATATCAAAGAGGTCATATTATGAGAAAATAACATTTTTAAGAAACGTTTGGAATTAAAGAGTTTAATGCACTATGGAAACACTTTCAAAAAACAAGATAACTTCAGTGTAAATTGTTTTAGGATTATTCGCTTATAATGTTAAAACATTAAAGATATGACTCCTTTGAGAGAAAAAATGAGAAACGGAATGACAGGACATGAAAGTGATATGGTACCTGCCCAGGAAATCATCTTGATCAGGATCTTTATCAAACACTTCCACCTCTAGCTCCTGACCAGGCACCTCATGAACGATGACCTGACAGACAGACATGCATGAAACACCAAAGACACACCGACATTAACAGCGTGGGACATCAATGACAAAACGCGGCGTAAATGGTCAGACATTTAAACACACACAGATACATATGACCTTATGAAGTTCATCACATTTACATCATATATTAATATTATGATATCAAATGGCTTATACAGTACAGCCGGGGAAATCAGTCTTTAAAGAGTTACTTCTTTTGTTGATATTGCAATGTGGTGCCATTTTAACACCCACCTCATACATTTCACCCCATTTGGGATTGAGTGTATTGTCCAGATGCTGGGATTTGAAGGTTTGCGGCCCGACTCTGAGCAGGGCGTACGGGTCAGACACACCAGACACAATGGTGTCCTTCGCAGCCAGACTTTCGGCCTCCACCAGGTGAATACGCACAACTCCCTTGAAGAAATAAAGAAAGATGCACAGAATATGAAAGACTGCAGTGCAGGGAACTGTTTCATTACAGCATTACTCCTAAACGAAAATAACCAATTACATGGTACCATTATGTTTTATGGAAAGCGATGTTTCAGAAACATGTATGCTACTTCTGCATTAAAATTATTGAAAAATATTTCAAATTACACTGCAAAAGTGGCACAGAACACTAACTTTCAAAAGATCGAAGTCAGCAAGATATTTTTTTCTTTTTGAAATAAATGAATACTCTTATTCACCAAGGACACATTATATTTAACAAAGGTGGCAATAAAGACATTTATAAATATGTCATAAAATAATTATATTTAAAACAAATGCTGTTCATTGAATGTTTAATTAAAAACTCTAATCTCTCATGGTTTCCACAAAAATATGAAACAGCAGACCGGTTTTCAACATAGAAAATAATAAGAAATGTTTCTTGGGCAGCAAATAAGCATATTAGAATGATTTCAGAAGGATCATGTGACAATGAAGACTTGGGTAATGATGCTAAAAATTCAGCTTTGATCACAGGAATAAATTACATTTTAAAATATATTAAAATTAGAAAATGTCAATAGTATTCCACAATATTTGCTGTCACAATTAACACTGTTACAACCCTATTAATTACACTTTAAAACATATTCATGTATTCACAGTTATTTTAAATTTTAATAATATTTCACATTATTTCAGTTTTTAATGTAGTTTTGATTAAATAAATGCAGTTTTGGTGAGCATAAGAGACTTCTTCCAAAAGCATAATTTTTTTTAACTGAGCCAAAACTTTTGAACTGTTCAGTAAATGTTAATTACAAAAACCAAAGTATCATGTATTTGAGTAATTTGGTCATTGTATGTTGATTGGATGTGTGTAAGGTGTGTATGCGTGTGTTACCCTAGGCAGAGGGCTCCTCAACTGAGCCACATGCAGATCTGCCACCAGAGGAACAGTGAGACGATTGGGCAAAACCAGGAACGAGGCAATCGCGTCCATGATCATAGTGTCTGACATCATACTGAGAAAAGGAACAGGGACAGAAAGTGTGAATTTTTTTTTTTTTTTAAAGAAACGGATGCCGATCAGGACAGTGAGTGTACTGAACTGAATAAATTGTTACTGTGTATGTGTAATAACTAAAACTCACTTGACCCCTGGGATGTCCAGCAGGTTGGTCAAACCGGTCCAGTTAATGGTCAGTTTCTAACAACAAAGAGGAAAAAGGAGAATACTACATGATTCTATTAAAAGTAATATTCTAATTCAAGCACTAATGAAAGAATAAAGACAGTAAGGCTCAGAACACACTTGCAAGAAGACTAATGCAGAACATTTTAAAGTTCAATGGAGCTTCAGAGAACACAGGAGGGTTTCAACTTCCTCAGTTAATGGATGTTACCAAGAACTAATAATGCATTTGATCTGAACCTATAGGCTTAGATTAAGGCAGGATTAGGCCTTAGTACAATTAGGACATTAAAGTAGCTTTTATAAACGTGCCTTAGAAAAAAACATTATAGGTGTGCCTCTCGAGACAAAACAATCACACTGACATATTTCAAGATAAGTCAGTGCAAGTTGCTTTCAGTTAAAACATGTTCAGTTCAAACATGCATTTTAGTCTGGGACTAGGCTTAAGACTTGTCTGTGAAACTGGGGGATAGTGTAATGTCAAAAACAATTTAAGCTCAAAAGAATCATCTAGTCAACCATAGAAGAACCCTTATTTTTCATCTAATAGGTCCTTTATTGGCATCCATGAAGAACCTTTAACATACATGGAAACTTTCCGGTCCACAAAAGCTTCTTTATAGTGGTGAAGTATGTGTTTAGAGACACTCACGGGTCTTTGGATGAAGAACATGGTCACAGCACCCACGATTGGGACGTCACCGATCAATGGCTCCAAAATCACACGCATCATTCCATGAAGCTGAAAGAATGCAAGTGGAATTATCTCTCAAGATTTCATTTCTACAGTGGGACCATGCATCAATTGTCCTGCAAAACACAATCTCACCTGTATTCCCTTCACACCAGCCTTGCAGAAATACCTCTTCACCTCCACGTTTATCTCGACATCCCCCACGTAACTGAGAAAATATGACGGAGAGGAAACATTAGGTTGCTTTGAACTCTTTACAAATAAATTTAACTATTCTGCTGAATTTGTTCCAAACAGCTAAAACTTGATGTAAAACTAAACAAAAACGAAGTCTTTAAATAGGATATTAGGGGTGGAACAGTACACGGAAGTCACGGTTCGGTTCATACATCACGGTTCATTACAATAGAGTGAATAGTAAAACAAAAATGCACAAGGCATTTTTATAAATGTCTTAAGCCTTATATTTTTTAAATAAGTTTTATTTAACATAGAGCTAGTTTGTAGAGCACTGACAATAGTTTTATATAATTAGTTTATGAATTAAATTAATAAAAAGACTAAAAGACCTTGAGATATGTTTGATAATTGTACCTGAATGAATTTAAAATTAATTTGCTATATTTCAGATTTGTTTTTCTTAATTTTAATTATTCTCATTTGAATTATAAATAATTGATTTCGGTATAAAATAATACTACCATTAAAAACACATTTGATTTTCTTTTTTAATCAATGTAGAATGTGCAACTTAAAAATAAACAGATTAGTGCTCCGACTCCAAGCACAAGACATGAAAACCAATGCGACATGATGAATGTCCAAAAGATGGAACCCACAGACTTTTTGAAATGGGGTTGGATAAATATGTTTTGCTTTTAAAACTGTGTTTTTGGTTGGGTGACAGGTTAGTTTGACACGGGTTTATAGTGTGACAAAAGCACAATGTTGTGTTTTATTGCGAGTGTACACAAATATCAGTAAACACTTTGCAGTTTGAATCACACTCCAGCATTGCAATCTTGAAATCACAGCCTGTTCATTATGCTGCATTCACACCAAACGTGAATAGAGCGAAATTTATCGCTATTTAGTTTTATTTATTTTTATACCGTGTATTCTCCATGCAAATTCGTGCACCGAACGTATATCAATTCAATACGAATACATACGGTTCCACCCCTATAGGATATACACTCATGTTATTCTCTTGATAAACAAATCTGAGTTGGATGCAGTTTGATAGTCTTGTTTTGTCAGCTTGTAAAAAAAATACAGACACAATATTGATTACACAAGACTTTTGAATCACTCCCTGAGAGACAATAGAAAATTCACTCATGATTGCATGAGAATCTCAAATATATCTCAATCTCAAGTCAGTAAATAGATGAATGCGTCACCTGATGTAAACGTCAAGCAGAATTTGACCTTTTTCATTTTCTGAATGAGCCTTCACTCCAACCACCTTCATCGGCTGTAAAATAAAGAAAAGTTCTGTTGTTGAAGATAGAAATGTGCAGCCAAAACTCTAATATAGGGCAAATCAGTTTCTTTATGCATATACTCTTCCATAACACTATAATATAGAAGTGTTTTTAGGTCATTAGATTTTAGGCTAATATTAAAGTAATTTAACAACATACTTGCTTGTTTATGGTTCTATGATGTCAGCTAATGGTCACATGACAAATTATCTTTTAAGTGCTTTAATTTGATTGTTTAGATTTTAAAATGATTTATTTATTTAAATTTGACAATTTAAGATTTCATTGTTAGCTTGTCATTATCAGCTCATAAACACCCCGCAGTAATAATTCAATAGCTATTTTTAAACATCAGAAGTCTATAACTGTGTTAATGAGCAAGAATTTCACAGCCTAATGTCCTTTAAATCACATTAACAAAAAAATGTCACTCTCGCCTGGAAAGGAATGTTTGCCATGAGACATCAGATGTGTTTATTCTTACAGAATGCTTGTTCAGACATGTTTCAAGGGCAGTGGAGCTTTTAATCTCCTACTGTGGTGGAATGAAATCTGCAGGGATGTTACTGGAATATTATTTATTGTGTAGCGGTGTGTGTATGTGTGTGTGTTTCCATGTATGACCTTGCCACCAAAGTCTATCTTGGTGAAGCTGAGAGTCTGTAGATGAGTGCTGGAGCCGCGGATGGATGAGGCAATGGTTTCCGTAAGCAGCTTCTCCAAATACTGACCAATATATGGCCAGGCCTGATGGATAACCTTGAGAAATAGACAGGTAGAGAAAGAGTGTCATATTTTTATTTGATATTAAAGTCCCCATGAAATAAAAAATGGACTATTCTTCTTTTTTTATGGAATATTTTAGTATTTATTATAAATAGTTCCCTCATAATCTTTAATCAAAACAACTTCCCCTCCCTCTTTCATTCACAACTCATCTCTTATGACGTGTTTACTGGCATGAAGGCGGGGCAACCTGTCACTCACATGAGATCCACCAATAGGAAGCCACAACCATCCAATCAATTCCCAATTAACAAAATCAAGCCCCACTCTGCATTTTTTTCTTGTTTAAGAATCTGTTTCTCTTTATATACATCACAATTGGCTTTATGCACAGCTGCACTACTTCCTGAACTTCAGCCAGCTCCTTGTTTCCTGTCTGCCATTATTGGACAAACTTGATTAAATCAGTTGTGTCTGATTATTGTTGCCGTGACTACTGAGGTCAGGCACACCTGAATTAATCAATTAGTCCAATAATGTAAGACAGGAAACAAGGAGCTGGCTGAAGTTCAGGACGTAGTGCAGCTGTGCATAAAGCCAATTAGGGGTAGGACAAATAGTGTGACACAAGAATTTATACGTTGGTTCCAAATACTGATATTTTAATTAATAAAATAAGCCACTCTAAAGAGATTTCCCTGCTCCCAGAATTCCGCCTTCCATGTCTCCTCGAATTGGCACTCAACACATGAATAAGGAAAACATGAACATAAGTTAATTACCCTAAGAAAAAGAGTTTTTTTAACGGGATGACGGACAGCTGTGTAAGTAAATTAATAGATGCCCAGCCAACATATAAGTCCAAAGTCTGGAAAACCTTCACATAACCCTTTCACAGGCATTATACCATGGTATAATTCCATGTATAACTCCTAAATAATGATAACACAACTGCATTTTTGTATTGATACTGTATGAGTCTAAAATAATGCATAAAAAATGTATGTTGTAGATTGGGAGACTGGAGATCTGACCCAGTTCCTTCTGTTTAATGCCCATGTCTGTTCTCTGCTCTACTTGACGATGTTTACACCGTGCCATTTGTGTTTGCCTAGTTGCTATAGTGACTTCTTGTTTGCGGATGTTCAGAGGTGATAACAGAAGCTAAAGCGTCAGATGCCAGGCCATTTTTTTAGATTGTTTCATTACAAATGTAAACCACAGATTTTAGAAATAGCATTGTGACTCATGCAGAGACCACATGACCACAGGATATGAAGAGGGGAGAGTCTCTGCTGGAATAACTGCCAGCGTAAAATGTCTGCCTCGTGAATCACTGATAAAGTCAGGCCTAAATATTTGTGTTCTAATGATAAGCCGCAGCACTGTTATAATCAAACTACTAACGAAAAGAAGGATAAATGGTGTCAGGAAGGGACATATCTCTATCTGCTCCTTCTTTTTCTGAATCTCATGAAGAAAGTTCATTTCATGCCAAAATCAAAAATATATACAGTATATTTTGAATAAAGAATATTTTAATACCATTAATACCATATTGTTATAAGCATTCAATGTATTATGTTGTCTTTTATTATTACTTTATTATTACCATTTTTTTGTTTTGCATATTATGTATACTAACTGTATTTTCTTTTAACGGGTTTCATCTTTAATCTTATGTTATACTACTATAGTATGTTGGTGCTTATTGTGTAATGCATTTGGAGTATTATAATTAAGTTTTGTTTTGTTCGTTTTTTGTTTTCAGGCGTTTGAGATGCAAAAATAGAATAAAAATGTAATTTCCTGGGAAAGCATGTATCGCAACTGATCTAATAATTCAAAGGCAAGGAACATATGTTGGTTGAATTAGTGTTTGGTTGAGAATGGATGTGTAATAATAGTATATATAAAGCTTTTGTTCAGCAGGCGTGTGGGTGGTCACATGGCAGCTGTTGTGACATGAAGGAGGGGTCGTTCATTTGATGGGTGGATCAGGAACACATGGGATTACAGGCTTGATGTTAATAAACAAATGTAAACTGAAACGGTTTGCTGAATTACCTTGTTTAGCCATTCAACCTTCTCCACATCTGGGAAGTTGACCTGAAATTATAAAGAAAAAACAATAACAGACCTCTAAGCGCTGTCTATGCTTATGGGCTGTAGAACAAACTTTAACAGAGGATGTGGTAAAAAGAAGAAGAAAACACCACATGCAATCACCTCAGTCTATCATGAATGTTTTTACATTATTTCCTTCTTAAATAATACATACTATGCAGTGTAGATTTTTATAATTTGTACCCCCATTAATAACATGCATAGTTTATTTTACCACATGATAGCCATGAGACATGAGCAAATATAGCATAAACTCTTTTATGGAAGCATACTGTGCACATGGGGAGGAGATGAAAAGCAACAATGTATTCAGAATGATTTGGACAATGGGAATTTGGCCAAGTACGCAGTTACTAGTATGCAGTACACCACCGATACAGCGCCACCAATAGGTCTAAAAATGTCCTCTAAATCTGCAGACCACTCCTACTGTTTAGCAGCAGTAGGGAATTAGATTCATTCATTTTCGAATCGATTCGTTCAAACAATGAACTGTTTAAAAAATGATTCTTTCCAAAGATAAGTAATCGCGAGGCTTTTTTTCCTGTAAAATATTGCTGTTTTTACTATGTTGTCGATTAGGTGGCGTCAAATTTGTGGTAATTTATGATTCTTAAATTCAACACTCCTCAGTTTGAATTCTATGCGAAGAGATTTCAAAAGTACCACGACTCTGATTCATTCAAATGAACCGATTGGAAAAACAAATCTTTCGCGAATCGGACATTGCTGTACATTACTCTTTTTCATTTTTTTCTTTCTTTTTTTGTAGCGATGCAAATGTGTTTTACATAAAAACGCTTAATTTCTCTCTTAGTATTATTAAGTAATGATTTATTTGGGCGTTATGCATTAATAACAGTACCGGAGTGAATAGTTTTATTCACCTATCAAAAGACGGGCTTTTATGCATTCTTACCCAAGAAGGCAGGTCTCCTCGACTTCTAAATGATTTGGAGGATATGTATTCTTGCTCGTCGTTGAGTAACTGTATAGCGGATCTCAGTCTCGCCTCCTTCGCCTCACGAGAATGTTTCCATCCTGCGTAAACCATCATCCCAAACATTACCAAACTAGTGCTCATGCGATAGTAACCAGCCAGGTAAACAGGCAACATGGCAGTGAGACATTTGCCGAAAGTCCATAAGATTGCCTTGGCGTCCAATAATTTAGTTTTAGGGACGACCATTTCTCCTGATGAACTATCCCGGGCTGGTTCAGTCTTCTGCTCCGAGTCCGAGTCATTTTTCGGCCCTGAATCAACGTGCGACATTGTAGTCTGTTGGTTTGTAGGCAAATGTTTTCAAAGTCAAGATTCGATTATAAACGCAGCGATTTGCAACTCAAATTCAACATGTGCTGTTTGATTGAAAGTCACGTTGCTTTGGCGCATGGACTAGTTAGAGAAAAACTGCAGATGAATCGGATGCCTGATCACTGCAGATCAATAAGTCAGTCAGCCCGAGAAAGAGAAATCGCCCACCTCACGGCTGTTACCCTTTTGGCATGACACTCTTTTTCCTTCTTGCAGCTTGTCTGTCTGAAATCACTGGCCTGCCCGCACCGTTATAGAGGCAGATCACGCCCACAGAAAACGACGCAGTTGTAAAAAGGGGCGAATTCTTTTAACTTAGTTGGAAGCTAGAGTTAGCCAGTTTATTCTGTGAACGCTTCTATATTCACAAGTCTTGGATCAATTCTGACTTGTTGTCTCAATTTAATTTAAATTACATGTGTTCGAATGTGCCCCCAACCCCCCCCCCCTTATAGCTATTGTGTTACCCCCCCCCCCCTCCTCATTAGGGGGGGGGGGCAGCTGTTTCGACTGGTGACGTCACTCTCCATTTGGGGGTTCACATTTTTTATTTCTCTTATATGTGCATTTCAAGACGTTTGAAGGCAAAAAAGAGCATAAGAAATAGATTTGAAAAAATGTTAGCGGGCAGTAGATTATTTGCCAATAACGTTAACTTACCTGCTGTTTTCTCCATCACCCTTTTTTTCTCTCTCAGATCTTGCCCTGTCTTTTCCCCTCCAAAAGATGATTTTTAATTTACTAAAGGCAACAAATTGTTTTATATTAAATCTCAGTATGTACAAATTCATTATTTATCTCGTGCCTAAAACGGCTTAGTGAATGTGTCTTGTCTTCTCAATGGCGGTAAACTTAACGTTAACCGTTGAGCTACAGTTAACTTACACGAGTCCCGTTACAGGCCTATTTTCAGTTCAAAATGGTGAAATTTGACAAAAGTTTATTAGTTTGCCTGATTATTTTTGTCATTCCTTTAACATTTATGACCTAAAAACGGTAAATTATGAAATATTTAGTTTAACTCAACTACTTACATTTCGCACTTGACTGAAGCGTCGTCTAGTCGCTTCTGAACATTAAGCCCGCCTACTTTAATTTGATTGGCCAGGCCATCTCAAATATGAAATATTCTAAAATGGTCGAGCAGTGACAGACCAATGAGACTCGGATGAACACACACACACGCACACGCACACTGTCCTGTTTCTGACGAGCGCTCGCTGCTCTGCGTCGCTGAAAAGCGCGTTGAAATAACACGACAAAAAAAAGTGAACACGAATTTCTGCAGCCTACACAACACAATAACTACTTATTATTATTATTCAGTAACCCCCCCAAAACTATTATTTTTATCCCTTTTGGGAGGGTCCAAGTGACCAAGGGGTAATATTTTTACAAAAGATATTTTAAAGATTTTCTGAAACCAAACAGTTGAGATGGAGCACAATTGACTTCCATAGAATCCCCCCCCCCCCCCACCACCATGGAAGTCAATGGCAACCATCAATTGTCTTGTTACTGACATTCTTCAAAATATCAAATGATGAGATAATTTCAATTTTTAAAGGCATTCATTTTCATAAATTTTTTTAATTTTCATTTTTGTCAAACAGCGACCCCTAGAGTACTGTGGAGTACATGTATTTAAGGTTACTGTCGTAAATACCACTCACGCAGAGCGTCTCTGCCAAAGCCTGGTCTCTGCAGCACTCACAGCCTGATACCCATTTGAAGCTGTTATATTAAAGTAGTTGAGAGTAGTTCACCTTTAAAAAAAACTTTTGCTGATAATTTACTCACCCCATGTCCTCCAAGATGTCCATGTTTTTCTGTCTTCAGTCGAAAAGAAATGAAGGTTTTTGATGAAAACATTACAGGATTTTTCCCCATATAATGGACTTCAATGGGAACCAAACGGTTCAAGGTCCAAATGAGTGTTTCATTCAGCTTCAAAGGGCTTTAAACAACACCAGATGATGAATAATTTTAACCTATTTGTTAGCTTAAAAACATAAACACTGAAGGATGACAGTTCATTTCTGAGAACTGATTATAAGCAATATTTCAATGTGACTGTTTATAGGGATTTCTAGATATAAACCATACATTGGTAAAATCAAATCAACAATTTTAAAATAAATAAGAAGGGGAAACATTATTTATATGATAATATTTGCACAGCACAGGGAGTTGCTAAAATCCCATTCAGCCCAGATCTGTCTCAGGTGGTCTTAACATCAGTGGACAGGCCATGAGAGAACAAACTAGGATATACTATACTCTCAACAGAATGAGAAAGCAATCAAACTAATAACAGAAGTCTGGTTTGATAAGAAATATAATTTTTCATTAACATTTAAGAAAGATACTTACTCAAGATGAAAGAAACAAGACCAATATTCTGACAGAAAAATGCAGTTATTTAGTTTCCAACATAAAGAAATAAAACACTTTTTTATGACGAGAATTGTGTCTGATTCATTTTTTTTGGTGAACAATCAAAACAATCAGTTCACACAAAAACAATTCACAAAACAAACTATTAAAAAAAGAAATCAAACTAAAACTGACAGCTAACAAGTAAATTCACAATTCATACCTTAGTGATTTAGTTGAATAGTTACATCTTTCAAAATGAGTTAATAGATGTCATGTGAAGTCAATGATGATTTCAAAAGAGTCTTTCCATGGGAATCATCTGCTAAAGCACGGAAAAAACTGAAATAATTCCATAAGTACACAAGAAAATATCTATATTCTATACAGAAATCTGTATGTTCATTCAGTCAGAACCGACCCTTCACCTGAGAAACTTCCCATGGTTTACTGGTGTCAGCAGAGTTGCTTTGATTCCAGTTAATGTATATATTGCTGAAGTGTGGCCTCATTAATGAGGCATGGGGGTGATCCTCATACTCTGACTGGCGATGGGGTACGACACCATCGGTGTGGTCGCGTGACTCATCGTGATGCCCGGCAATGGTTGTGCCATGGACACGGCCACCGGCGCCACCGAAACAGCAACAGGGGCCATTGAAACAGGAGGGGCCAATCCCTGGGCGATAGTCTGAGCGAGGGCGGCAGAGATGGGGTCGGGGTTCAGATGTGGTGGGGGTGCGGAGGGGGGCGCAGCATTCGAAGGAGGGGCGGTCGGTGCGCCGGTCGAAGCCACCAGATCTTGTTGAGTGACGGGGCGGGGCTGCAGACCAGCACTGCTCAGAGTGGTGTGTGTCTGGGCAATGCCATGGTTGTAGGAACTCACAGAACCAACAGGGGGCGCCAGACTCTGTTCAGATGGAGCAGGGGTGGAGGACAGCGTCATTACTTTAGCCTGGCTTCGAAACTGAGCGTTCTGGTCCAGAAGCACCTCGTTGGTGGCTATCAGGTTGGACACCTTGAAAACAAATAAAGCGAAGGAAGGAAGTTTGAGACATTTAGGATGTGGTTACATTTTTAAAACAAGTGATTCTATCAGCGATCTTAAAGGTAGGCTAGCAATATCAAGCTAGCGAGTAGTACAGTGCACACATGGACTATATCCATAGGACTTTCAATATATCTTCCCACTGAAGAAAGGAAGAGTACATCCCCTACCTGTTTCTTAAGCTCCTCCACTCTTTTCCTCAGTAGGGCGTTCTCCTCTTCTAGCAAGCGGTACTCTATCGGACGGATCGGCAGGGTGGTCTGAACCCCCAGTTCGTAATGTCCACCGCTGGTCCCATCGGTCAACCGCAGCCCATCCAAACGCCGTCTCTTCAGCTGGAAGGCCGTGTGGTCAACGGGGGCCTCCACCGGCCCGGCTTCAAACATGCCATTTTCGAACAGGGGGTCGTAGACGGAGCAGGGGCCCCTGTCGAAGCGCCGATGACCCACTGTCCCCATCGACATGCAGCTGCTCATCGAGCCCCCACCTCCACCTCCAACCGACAGGCCCTGGTCTCTGCACCCGCCCATGCTGGGACATCCCATTCCCATGTAGGTTCCCACGCCGCCACCAACCAGGCCAGACATCCCACCGCAGGCCCCACCGACACCAACCGTACCACCCCCACCAGCATTCACCATCCCGCTCACGCCACCGGTGACACCCATCATGCATCCCACACCAACCCTGGGCGAGGCCTCATATTCGTAGTCCTTCCTGACATGTCGGAACTTGCACTTGTTGCCCCGCTGGCACTCTCCTTTTAGATAGTCCCTGCAAATGGGCACCTCTCCGCGACTCAACGGGAGGTCGGTCGGAGACAATCCCAACCCGGCCGCCACCTTCCCCCTGAGCCGAAGTGGAAGCTCTCCGGTTTTCTTATAGTAGTCCTCGTCTTCCTTCGAGCCGTGCACGAATCGGCAGTTGGTGCGCACGCACTCTTTGTTCTGATGGTCATGGCAGAAGATGAACTCATTCTTCTGCACACCCAAGTCGGGAACCTCATTGAAGTCTGGATGGCGGAAGCGGCAGCGTTTGCCGCGCTTGCACACGTTGCGCAAAAAGTCCCGGCAAACGCCATCCAGTCCCGCACCGCCACTGGCTCCGCTGCAGCTGTTGCCGTTTCCTAACGCCCCGCCGCCTCCCATGGCCCCAGGACCGCCGTTACCCCCTGTGCAGCCCGCTGATCCGCCCACCACCGTCACTCTACCCTCTCCAACACCTCCACCCAAACCTGTCCCGGCTCCTCCCTCGTCCCCAGTGCCCACACCGCTGCCACCCCCGCCGCCACCTGCCAGGTAGGTGCTATCCCGGTCAGGCATGGCGCTCGGCCCAGCGGGAATAGAACGCTGCGCTCATGTGGGTGCCCGAGAGATGAAGGTCATACAAGGGTTCAGAGTTATAGTGCAAGAAAGACAAGAGCTCAGGCCGTAGGCAAATGCAGATCACAGCTCCACCTGGGCACCTGGAAATATCATACAGATACAATTAAATACTATTCAAGAATTAACATTATATAATTGAATTTATTCACAATGATTAAACAATTTTTACTGAATTTTGAGTAAAAATAAATGTTTGAATTTGGCCATACTTTTCTCTAAAATTAGGGGTTCTCGGATGTTGGTTTGTGGTCACATGAGATGCAGGTAAAGAAATGAAATATTTTGTCTTGTTAAGCGTTCTATTTTAATTGTTTTTATTTTAATTTTTTTGGCTGAATACATTTTTAGCTTTTCACCAGAACCCCAACTCTAGATAAATCGGCATTGGTCATTACTGAAGAAATATATCAGCTCAGCTTTAGGCACGCCTTACATACTGGCTTTTGAAACTTTATAGATTTTAAAATTAAAGCTATACAGCACCAAAGATAAAAGTTAGTACTATTATTTTAATATCAAAATTATTTTAATTGTATATATTAATGAATTCCCTGCCAGCATTAACAATTTCTCTTGGAAATGCAAATATTAATACAAAATGTAATGCTGTTCAACAAGAAGTACTATGATATTACATTGAATTTATTTAATAACACCATGCTTTGCCTGTGAACATGTATATATATATATATATATATATATATATATATATATATATATATATATATATATATATATACATATATCCTTATATCTAGTCTCTATACAACAATTGCAACCATTTGTTTACTAGTGCTGTCATGTCAAGTCTTGTGGGGCGCCAAATACTCAGCAAGATGTGAATGTCATGTAGTGTTACATAAGTAACCAGATATAGTTGACTGCTTCTTTTCCAAATTATTTTAAATAAATATGCAAGATTTTATATTTAATCCACAGCACGTATAGTAAAAGATGCTCTCTGGCACAAAGGCCTGGACAACACGCAACAATAATAAACTAAAACCATTATTACTAGAAAACTCACCCAACTGCAACCAGTCGTATCGAGATTAAAGAAACGCTATCTGAATATTACTAATTACACGCATGATGCATGTACAGACTGTGAGAAAGATGACATTAGAACACAAGTTGGTCTATGAACAACAACTTCCGCTTTGCTTGTTCGAAGCACTTCCTGTGCGGTAGAACACTGGGAAAATGCCCTTCAGAATAAAAGTCTTCAAACCACAAAAATACTGGAGATACCATGCCATGGTCAAGTGATAATGCTGGAATCAATATGGTGCTCCAATTTATTTCTAAAAATACCGTGGTATTACCTTTATGCATGTCCAAACATCATGGTTACACAGGTAAAACAAAAATAAAAAAATCATTGGACTTTTTGCATGCACCTAGTGGTATTATTCCACCTTAACACATTTATGGACAAGTACACTTAAAATGCAACAAGGTGCAATATTTATTAGGGAACAGAAAAGAGCAAAGTCTGACAAAACAAATGCAGAAAATGTGAAGTCTTATTTCTGCTAAAGGTGAAAAGTATTTTAAAAAATTCATGTTTAAGTGCCATAATGCCATTAAACAGGTTTTTTTATGTTCTTAAAAGTAAATGTTAAGAACACATTAAATTACAAAAAAAAAATGTATTGATAATAATGATATTTTTCTGTTGCTTGCAGTAAAATTATCAAGAAAAAACTATTCTAGACATAATTATAACAACATTTACCACCAAGTTGGGGCTAAATTCAGAGTTTAGATTTGGGCTTTTAACCCGTATCTTTATGACATAAATAATAGGTAAACATCTGACCTTATCAATGAGATTAAGACTCTTTAACTCAAAAGACATTTTCATTTTGAAATATAACATAGGAGAGACATGTTGACAAGATACGTTGCAATAAGTCACGACAGCGTGATGGTTGTCAACAGTTTATTTCCATCTTAATGAGAACATCAGACATCAATGTTCATATCCAATAATCTTATAAAGATTCAGCTGCAGAGCAGGAATGCAGGGGCACATCACCTGTAAAGAAAGAAGAAAAGTAGAAGTCAAAGTGTTTTTTACATTGAAGAAAGACACCACAGCTAAATAGGGCAAAACTGTTAGTAATGAAAATATACCACTATACTTTCACCAAGTGAATAATCACTGTGCGTTACTGTGTGGTATTACAAGTTTTCTGAAATACAATTCCATTTTCATTTTGTTGACATTAAAAGTTTACAGAGTAGATTTTGGAACAGCCTGAAAAACAAGTGTTTTTGGAAATGTTATATAAACCAGAAGAATGATATATGAACAAAATCATCTGTAAAAACCTTCAGAATATAGATAGGAATAAAAGTGTACAGTATGGAGAATGTAGTAAAGCTGCTGAAGTAGACATTTTAGGCTGTAGGAGGAAGAAACCTTATATACACACAATATATGTATTGTAATTGTAACCCAAAGACACAAATTGATATTAGACACTTTAATATATATTTAGGATGTTTTCTATTCATTAGTGAAAAAATAATAATAATGTTACAGAAGCAAACTTAGCTCAAAGTTTCAAACTCTAAAAATTGACCAGTGTATGGAAGTAAAATAATGACTAATGTCTTTGAAAATAAATAACATAAAAATGAATAAAAAAATACATTGCATTAACAGTGCTTTCATTTTAATGCTTTGTATTTTCAGGGATTGCATTTTGGAGGGCTAAAATTAACCATGCTTGCATATTTTAGATGTGAATATTTCAAGTGAAAACATTTCATACATCATTTCATTATTAAAAATGCAATAATCCATATTCACCACATCAGTTTTGGGGGAGATAACATTGTATCTCTTTTGCAGTGGAGAAAGCTGCTTCTTGCATTTAAAAAAGAAAAAAAGAAGAAGTAGTAGTAACCACAGACTTTGAATTAAATGTAAACAGTTTCCGTGTCTTTATCAGGGATAGTACCCTATATATGCAGAAAATCTGATTATCATAACATATACTTATCACATACAATTCAACGTGGGGATTTGTTTCAAAGACAGTCATTGTTTTACTTTCAAACCAAAGCATAAAAATGGTATTAATGACATTTAAAAAAAAATTACAATCAAGGACAAAACTCAGGGCTGTTTAACATTATAATTACTGAAATGGCAGTGCATTTAGAGTGCAAAAATGATGCTTGCAATCCAATCAGATGTATATGCACTTGAAAGGCCACTCACATCACATTACTTTATTCTCCAGAAGGCCTGACACTTTGAAATACACCAGCTTCTTTCATGGCGTTAAACTCCTTCATGGCATCATACTCTTTGTAGAAGTCAGCATATGCCTGTTTCCTGGGCTCTGTTACTGTGTACTGCGGAAAGACACAGAGTAATAAAAAAACTGTCCATTGTCCTTGTAAAATAAGCTTCCAAAATTATTTAACTCGCTTGACTCAAAAGGTAAAAGACTGAAAGATAGGAATGAAACCAAATATATCCAAGATTAGATATAAAGAAAAGAAAAATCAAAACCCATATTGATTGAAAACTAATCTTAATGACTATGGAAGTTACATGATGTCAAATGGTGCTTTAAAAATAATAATAATAATTTAACAAAGCATTTCTACCTACACATTGATTAAGTACCAATCAATTTTGAACAAAACTGAAGGGCAAAAGGATATAATCATACAAAACACAATACAACTGACCTTGAAAACGGCTGCTGCAGCGATGGAAAGAGCAAACGCGATGGGCAAATGAAACCTCAAACGCTTGGCCAGGAGGCCTCTCATCGCTGGCTTTGCAAGTGACATTGTCGACTTCTGGAAAGAGAAGACAATAAAAGGAATTTAATTCACTGATAGTTAATTGACAACCTTGCACTTCCAATAACAGGATAGATCACCCTTCAGTAACGTATCGCTGCTATTCTGACCATCACAAATGGATGTCTTGCTGACTTTCAAGACAGACACAGAATAAGTCACGAATCACGATAACACTTAACCTTTGCTTATGGGATAGAGACTGCGAAAATAATAATATGTAATAATAACCAGATATACTAAGTCCAATATGCATGTTTTATATACAAACGTGCTGGTCAGCTCAGGTCAAGGTATTAGCGGTTTAGCTAATAAGCAATTTACATATTATTAAAAAGCATACAAACCATAGAACGCACAGCCACGCAGTTTAACCTTAGTCTTACTTTTAAAATGACACTTGTGATTCATATCATAGCGCCTTCTGAGATTCAGGACTAACAGTTAACGTTACCGGTCTTGCTAACACTAGCAAGCAATGACGACCAGCGGCAAGATACTCTAAAACGAGACGCGTTCAGCTAAATTAAATTAATATAAAAAAAGAATGTTTAGAGTTACTAAAAACAAAACATTGTGATTTTATATTTTATACATAATTCACCATAGAAATGTTGTTGTAAACGTATAACAAGCTGGATATTTACCGTTTAATTCGCGACCTTCAGCACGCACGTCCGGTGATTCAGTCACAGGAAGGTGTTTATAGGGGAACTACGGAAACAGGCGAAGGACAAACACACTGTAGTGTATCAGACTGTAATTCTTTTTAACTAGAATTAAAATGAAAATGAAATATATAAAAATAAAACAGATTTAAAATATTTTAAAATAATTGGGTTTCAGTGAATAATATATCATTGTCTTTTTTATTATTATCTTACTTACTCACTCTATTGGCTATAGAGTCCCTTTCGGTTTGTATAATTAAAGTCCCCATGAAATCAGAATTGAAGTTTTTGGGATTTTAGCATTTACACAGTCTTGCTGTTATCAATAAGCTAGTGTGCTCCAAAACAATGACAAAATTTGCATTTAGACTTTAAGATATATATATATATATATATACATACACACACACACACACACACACACATATATATATATATATATATATATATATATATATATATATATATTGATATTAAGCATTCAAAAATTTGTCTCTCACTTCTATCAATATGGATCAATTATTGGTTATGCCACTCTGCAATTTAGCTTAACATCAGATTTTTCTGTCCAATCAAATGTTCTTTAGAATTTAAAGCGTCCCAACATACATAGCTGCGGCTGAAATCGGTCACTTGATAACACATGTACTATTTTCTATATGGGGAATGGCACATAGTGCACTATATATGGCATAGAAAATGATTTGGACAGTGGAAATATGCTTTCCACTGAGGCGAATAAAATCTGCTTTCTGCAGCTCCGGTCCACGACAGCAAAGAGCGGATCATATGATCGAGTCGACGCAGTTCATAAATCGTATCAGATCCATTTGAATTCCGCACAGAATGCTGTACCTACTTTAAAGCAATGGATGAGATTAGAAGGATAAACGGTTAGAGATTAGGAGGAAACTGCAGTTTTATCGAGCTCAACACCTCTGGACAAACTAATTGGATATTTTTAAAAAGGGGAGGAGCTGCTCGATATGTCCCGCCCATATACTGTTTCATTGGAAATTACGTCAACAACACATTGAATAATGTAGCGCGTTTCAAAAGCCTTTAAAAAGAAAAAGGAAATATTTAAAGGAAGCAATACGTTTTAAAATAATGAATTTTTGAGGAACATCTGGCAACCAACGACTTGGTAAATGTTGCCAAGTCTTTAATAATTCAAAGCACATTTTCGCATGTTTTTGTCGGGACAGAATACGTGTTTTTTTCCACGGATCTGGCAACACTGTATTGGGTTACAATCAACTACCCTGATCTTCAAATAGCAGCACCGAAGCTCGACAGCCGCTTCTGCCTTGAAAACTGAAACTGAAATTCAACACCATCCATTTCTTTAGAGAGACTCAGCCGGTAAAAACGTGGTGTTTATCCCGGCTCGCGCGCGAAGAAGAAGAAGCAGACGCAGATGTTCTAGTGAGTTCTAGAACAAGGACAGTTAACTGTTAACGTTAGTTGTCTCATCACTAACTTAGCTGGTTGTTAAACACAATAACTTGTAACGTTAACTTAACTGTAAACAGGCGGAGTTGAGCGATCACCAAAGCCCTTCCGTCTTCCTTTTCCAACATTAGACGGCGATTCTACCACAGTAACTTTGGTAAGTTTATACTTTTAACACATTTACTGACAGTGTAACATTGATTTTTTTCATAATGTTACCTTTCTAAATAAGTTAACAGCAGTTAAGGGCCTCAACTGACTGGTCGTTACAGTGTAATCATGCCTCAGAAGCGGCGCTCGCAGTCGTGGATGGAACTCAAACAAGCCGGTAACCAGTGTTTCAGAGCCGGCCAGTATGGAGAAGCTGTGGCCCTCTACAGCCAATCCATCCAGCAGCTGGAGAAGTCTGGTGAGAGAAGTCAACGGTCACCACCTGCGTTACAGTATTATCCCTTATATAACTTATTTTGTACATGTACCATGTTAGCACCATTGTATTGTTGCTCTAGCACAGAATGTTCCATTGTATTCTTAGCATGTATTAGCATGTATATGAGATTTTCAAAAAGGGGTCTGAGATTAGGGGGTCTGTGGAAAAGTTGACAAAATAAGATTAAACTAAATTCATTGAAATACTGCATCTAACAGTACTGGTGAGTAGAAAATAAAAGCATACGATAATAACACAATATTATGTAATAGACACCAAATATTTTTCAAATAATAATTTACACAAATTTATAATATTCATTTTCACAGTATAAACTGGGTCAATACAAATACATTACTGCCTTGTTTTTTGTCAAATACGTTTTATTGAACCGTTGGATTAAATTGAAATAATAACATATTCCAGATAATCTTGTATGCGTAAAATGAGTAAACAAACCAGCAAAGCAACTTTAACCAACTTACCCTCCCCAGCCTTTTAATACATGATATGATCACATCATTCAACACTTCAGTAATTATACAATGCATTAAAGAATGCAATAGCAGACGAAAGGTATCCTAGTATAATAACGGAAACTCGTTCAATATTTCAAATTAAAGACATCTACAAGCACCGTACACCAGAATCCCTGTATTTTAGGCCAGGAAATAAAACCATGAGCTAAATCCTCATCCTCTGATTTGCATTTATCACAAAGAGGTGAGACATTGGGGGAAAATTAAACATTCATTTTTCGAAAAGTGTTCATTTAAACTGAATGAGGCTTAATCTAGTATAATCTGACTGATTGTTTATCAATATCCTCCAAAACCACTATGCCATATCTCCTCAGTGATTCTCAATACACATCTCTCACTCTTATTCCTCTCTGATCAAGTCTGTAGTGGGAAGTAGCTGATTGTAACCTTCCATTAATTAAAGATAACTGATTTGTGTTTGCCCTAAACTGTGTGAAACAATAATCAATGATTGAGGGCGGGATCTTGCGCATCTTTGTAAGATTCTGAAAAATATTGCTTATTTAACTTTTACTTTATTTGCTAAATTAACCCCCCATACTATCTGACAAAACCTTGAAACATGATAAATTGATAGTAATGTCATGGTACTCTCAAAATCCTAACGTACTTCTAAAAATACAAAAGAGATTCATTTATGTTTTTAAATTAAGGGTTACCATAGCATATAAATACAAAAAGATTGCTCAGACTGTTGTCGATATAAAAGAGCGTTTGGTACTAAGGTAAATAAAGCAACCGTTCTGTTCACAGGTCAGAAGGGAAACGAAGAAGATCTGGCTATTTTGTACTCCAACAGGGCCGCCAGTTACCTGAAAGATGGAAACTGCAACGAATGCATTAAAGACTGTACAGAGTAAGGAGGAGAAGACAAAAATGGTTAAAGTGATGATGATCAGAGTTAAAAATCTTATATTTACTTTTCAGGTCTCTTAAATTGGTTCCTTTTGGATATAAAGCTCTGCTTCGCCGGGCGTCATCTTACGAGGCCTTGGAGAGATACAGACATGCTTATGTGGACTACAAAACTGTTTTACAGATAGACTGGAACTTACCGGCTGCTCACGATGGTGTCAACAGGTAATTCCATGTGATCCAGAATTATTAGGCAATTAAAGGGATAGTTCACCCATAAATTACAACATTTTCCATCACTTTCTCAACCACAAGTTGTTCCAAACCTGTATGAGTTTCTTTGTCCTGTTGAACACAAAAGATATTTTAAAGAATGTTGGAAGTCATACTATGGAAGTCAATGGCTTTCGCCAATTGTTTGATTACCAACATCCTTTAAAATAATATCTTTTGTGTTCAACAGAATGAAGAAACTCACACAGGTTTGGAACAACATGAGGGCGGGTAAACGATAAAAATGGACCATTAACACATTGCTCATTCCCTTCAGAATGACGAAGGCTTTGACGGATATAGACGGACCATCTTGGCGAGAGAAACTGCCACCGATTCCCAGCGTTCCTATGTCCGTGAAAGAAAGCCGAGCGCAAGCCGCCAGTTCAGCCTCACAACAGAACAGCATGGTTGACAACAATAAAAAAGGTTTGTGCTGTGCTGTAATGATCAGACCCATCATACTTTGCTTCAGCACGTCATTTTCAATTGTTTGATTTTGAAGCACCAGGACCTGCAGCTGTTAAAAAGGCCAAAGCTCTTAAGGAACAAGGCAATGCATTTGTGAAGAAGGGCGATCACAAGGCAGCTTTAGAGAAGTACACAGAGTCGCTCGGTCAGGACCCCACAGAAGTCACAACTTACACAAACAGGTATGAAACGCAACAAAAAACGACCCAAGTATTTGTGCTGCCAAACATCATGTCGAGGATTTGGTTTGATAATGTGATTAAATGAATATTGCTTGTAGGGCTCTTTGCTACCTGTCATTAAAGATGTACAAAGAAGCTCTAAGTGACTGTGATGAGGCTCTTCTAATGGATTCTGCCAACATTAAGGCATTTTACCGACGTGCCCAGGCATACAAGGAACTTCAAGTTAGTTCAAATAAGACTTGAACAAAAATATGATCTTCGATTGATGGATTGTTTTAAAAATTGTTTTTTTTTCCTCCTAGAACAAGGAGTCTTGTATCAAAGATCTCAACAGTTTGCTCAAAATCGATCCAAACAACATAGCAGCACAGAAACTCCTACAGGAAGCACAGAAAATGAAATAACTCTGATTGAAAAGTGGACATGAGGAAACTTTCCCCAAGTGCCTCAAGTTGATTTGCTGCTCAAAGCTACAATGTTTGCTACAGATTTCTGCTCATCCTTCAGATATGCACGTCATGGCGTTATTTAAAAAAAAAAAAAAAGGAAATAGTTTGTGTTCATGTTCATATAGACACATTTGACTGGGTTTATTACTGTCATTAATGCAATCAGGTTTCCTTCTGAAACTCCAGACTTGTGGTGGTTGTTAAAGTAGTTCATTTAATCACTAATCAAATCCGATGTTGATTTGGTGTGCGATTTTAATGTTTTTCATTGCACACTGAACGGAACTGAATTTTTCTAACAAAATTACTTTTAAATTATTTCCACTTTAAACACTCTGTTTTAGGGCTGCATTTTCTACTAATTGTGTTCGCTTACCTTTTCCAGAGAAAGTACTCCGTTGTATTGTTGAGGGTTATGGTTATTTACTGTCAAAACCATTTATGTTTATATACATTTGTAAAGACTTGACACCTGTATTTATTGATGTTTCATATGCCATTTCGCATAAAAACTATGTAAACGGGTCTTTAATTTAAAGAAAGTAATGCATCTGATAATAAAGGACAATGTTCAGTAATATGGTATTTTCTCATCCTGTAAATTGTCAGATGTAATGCTAAGGTCAGTGGTTACTTTTTTTTTTTTTTTTTTTTGAAATTAGCAATACTAAAAAGACAAAACAGTAAATGCTATGCATGGACACAAGTAGTATAACTAATTAAAAACAATTCAAATCCAAGCTGTATCACTGTCTTCGATAAAGTTTTGTCTATCCATTTATGGTGGGGTTTTTTTTATTTTGGGGGTATTTTTGAATTTATTTACTTCAAAAAGTACCATATTTTCTATGTAAATTATGCTTATTTTATGTTTTTTTTTAACAACATTAAATTATCATTCCAATAAGTTCTTAAAGCTAAAACCTAAAGATGAAGTGACTTTGCTGTCACATGATATCTTATTTTGGCTTATTTTAGAATGCTCTAAATTACAGTTTTCCCCATTCATTTCTATGGGTGCCCATTTTTGACCCAAATACAAGATTAAGGAGTTTTTTTTTCCACCCATTTAACATTGTAGAATTGAGTCAAAAAAAAAAAAGTGTGTTCAGGAGGCAAACTTAGGAAAAGTAGCCAAGTCTTGTACTGCTTAGATCAAGAGAAATATTTTTTAAAAATAAATCAAAACTATTTTGCCCACATTTGTTCAGAATACAGTTTAAGGGTTAAAAAAGCAAGCTGTAAATGTGCCTTAAATTCAAGATTTTAAGTCATTTGAACACTAGACTGCAAGTGTCACTGTAAATGGTATTTGTGCAATCACAAACCGAAGCACAAGTCGATCCTTTTCTGTTGCCACAGATGATTGAGATCAGCTTGCTTAAATCTTTCTTAAATGCATATTTAACTATTTTTAAAAATAAAATGCCTTTTACATCTTTATATAAAGCACAGCGACAAGCCCATAAAAATATGCTGATTGTGTTTTTTTAAATTGATGTACACCACTGCGGGAAAAAATTACAGCGCAATTTGGAACTGATAAAACTTTTATTTCACTTTAAATTGTCTTTTACACTTTCCTGATTATAACATGTAAGGTGAAACTAGAACTGTTTTAAAAGACATACACAAATCTAGTATTACGTCAATAACCAGGTTGTATTTTTTTTTTTCCATTTTGTCATTTTTTTTTTCCCTTAAGCTAGTCTAAATTTTCACAACCACGTGCGCGCTAAGCAATGAAACCGTCACAGAAGCTAACTTTAGGCAGAATACTGGTCAGTAAAAACAAAGCAATTGGAGATACCAGATATACAGACAGGCTCGGCTCCACATTCACTACTGTATTTTTTTTTTTTTGTAATCAAGCGTAGAATAACTGCCGTTTGTTCAGCTAAGGGGAGAGAAAAAGAGATTTTGTCTTCAGTGCATGAACATTGTCTTCAGCTCGAGACAGATGAGTTCTACACCTACGTGGAATGTTATGGTGATGCGACACTGTGTATTGTGACACTGAATGAGTGGCTACCTCCCTAGTAATGATCAGGCCAGGGTCCTTCCACTATTTGCCAAATCTGATCTCGTCTTGTGTTTCACTGACTTTGGGCCAAGACTTCAAAGCCTCCACTGGTCTGCGGCACTTTCCTGCACAAAATTCAAGTTAAATCCAGAATTTCTCAGTTCGAACTGCTAAGGTCTTACAGAAACTCGTCTCTTAAAAGGAAAGAGGAGTAGTAAAGCTCTAAGTCAGTCTAAGGCCCCAAAACTCCTCCTGAATTATCATTTGAAGAAGGAAACATCAAATCAAGTGTCGCTGTTCAATTGCATGCAAGTTGACAACATTTCGTTTTTAAGACAAATTTATATTTACCTCTATAATGTTTACAATTTTACATCTTTATTAAATGGCGGGGTGGTCAAAATTATGCAAAAGGGAGGAAAATAACAAAACAAACCAAAATAACATACAGAACAAACCAGGAAAATTGTTTACTGATGTCAAACAGCACCTTTATGTTGACTGCCTTCTTGACAGCACATTATAGGAAACTCTCCAGTTTGTTCATAAAAGGTCTGTAATCGTTAAACGTCACATACTGATGGAATGTCTTTAACTTAAAACTGAACAGACGTGGAATGGCAAACCTCCGGTCCCTTTTGTCGTCTTTAGCCACGTGCGCAAAATAAAATGATGCACATGACAGCAATAATAGTAATGCGTGTTAGTCAGTGTCACAATACAGCCTGTTTTTATCCCTTCTGTATGAGATCGCAACAGAATTGTACTGCTACTCGTACTGAAACCGTTCCCATTTCCATTAAGCACAAGTTATCCAGGAGGAAAAACTAAACATCACAGTGTTTGTTAAATTAATGGACAGTTTAATAACCTGTTGAATAAAACCAGCAATCGCCAGTACACTATTGGGAGAGAAAAGACAGAGAAGGGAAAATGGGTGGAGGACACTATTATGTAATATAACCTGCTAGACCAGAGAACCTTTTAAAAATGTTAGGAGGGATTTTAGGAAGGGAAAAAAAGATGGAAACCATTTCCACTATTCAACCATTTTCCCTCATCTGGGGGTGGGGATACACGAACAGACATGTTTGAGACAAGTCAGCCTTGGAAAAAAACCAAACGTTACCCTGCCGCTCAAGGCTTCAGGGGTACAAACTTGTAGGTCAGGTACAATTCATGCTGCTCGTCATACAGAAAGGTGGATAAAGGTGAGGTGGATTGGATGGAGCAGGGAATTATGGGCTGTATATGTGTAAGATAAAGAGTGTAGGTGGATTTAACAGTGAAGTGCAACGCCTTTAGTTCTCGCCCTCCCCAGCATCCGCCTCATCACCCTGGTTTTCTGATGTCCACAGCTGAGGAAAGAGAAGGTTTCAAAATTCACCTTTAGCACACCTGCCAATGGCATACTATTAAATATTTCTTATTCATATTAATGGACTTTTAGACCATATTTTCCATGCAATAACAAGCACATTGTTCCTAATATATTTTGGTTGCCTAATGCTGGCTAAATTCTATGGATGTTTCACACAACATCATATTTCAGATAAAAAACCTTTATACTAGATAAAACAACCTACACAAAATTGTCGTTAGAAGTCGTGCGAGTCATAAAAGATGTTTAAATTAGAGCCCGACCAATAAAAAAAATATTTGTTGGTTTTAAAACCCGATATATTTTTATCTATTTTTTTTTTATTTCAGAAACGCGCAACAAAACATTAACAGATTTCCCTAACATTAGTTATTTGTAGTTATTTATGAGTTTTAACTTAAATAATATGATAATGCATTTTAAAAAGAAACCTGTTTCTTTTAGTCACAACAGAACAGACTGATGATAGTGGCATTAGCTCGCTTTATGGTTAGCTAGTCTATGATGAGCCATAATTTAGCAATGGATTACGTCATACTGCAAATTGTAAAACATACATTTTCAATATAACAGGCCAAGGAGAGATATTGATGTCGCACGCTATTAAAGAAACACTTCAGTCACATTGTCAAAAGGTAAAAGAGTCAGTCAAATACAATGTAACAACGCAACGTAATTATTACTAGCTAATTCCGCTTCACTCTCGGCTTATTTAGCAGCACCAAAACTGGACATGATAGTCACAAGTTGTCATGCTTATTTGAGTTAAGAGAACTGATGGGGACGTTCTTTTAATTGTTATTCAAGCAATGTATGTCTCGTGACCAACTCAACGAGTGTTGGACGGTGTAGAGTGCCCTCTGGTGGACAATCTATACAACCATGGTTCAAGCGTGTTTCGTCCGTTTTTATTTTATTTGTGAAATATTCATTTATCGGCCATTATAACTGCCGATACCGATAGTTAGGAAAATGCCTAATATCGGCCTGCCGATATATCGGTCTGGCTCTAGTTTAAATGTTACATTAGCACAGACCATCATTTTTAATAAATAAGTAATCTACAGAGTCCATATTTTTTAATTTGAAGTGAGTGTTAATTTTGGGCCCCGTCTATACCTATAAAACAGGTCAAACTTACAGTGAGGTTGTCCCTTAGTAACTGCATGATCAGGGTGCTGTCTTTGTAAGAGTCCTCGTTCAAGGTGTCCAGCTCAGCAATCGCCTCATCAAAAGCCTAAGGTGAAGGTAAACATGAGGATCAGGGTCAGTTGTCTTCCTGTACACTGGAAATGCACACTCGAGTATTCGGCATAATCTCGTTTAGTATCACGTTCCGAAACACTTTTTGAAGATACTCACAGACTGAGTTGCATAAATAAGATGATATGAAAGAGGAAATATTACATTGCATGTACTCAAAACAAAGTCAAACAAGATAATGGTCTAACCGTCTTTGCCAAACTGCAGGCCTGCTCTGGGGTGTTGAGGATTTCATAGTAAAACACGGAGAAGTTCAGCGCGAGTCCCAGCCTGATGGGGTGTGTTGGCTGCATTTCCTTCTTGCTGATCTCAAATGCATCCTGGTAAGCCTTCTGAGAGTTGTCCACTGTGGCTGTAATGTGATAGAAAACATCAAATCAAATTCATGACCGCTAGCATCACAGCCTGAGTGTTTTAATGCCGTTTCTTTAGCTAGCATCTAATTATTCATTCTTAAGACTTGACTTCATACTGCAGCATTATCAGTTCCCATCTTTGTACGTTACCCCTAATGACAGATAAATCACAAGTTTTGCTTTAAGACTAAAATGAGCTCACTTTTCTTTGATTCTCCGGCTGCCACCTCGGACAGGTATCTGTAGTAGTCTCCTTTCATTTTCAGGTAGAAGACTTTGCTCTCTGCCTGGCTAGCGTTGGGAATGAGGTATTTCTCCAGGAGACCCTGAGAGAACAGAGGAAAGGCCGAAATCAAGCAATGAACATTAAAATCACATTAATGAAAAGATAATCGTTAACCATCAGAAAGAGAAAAATCAATATTCTTAAAGGTAAAGTGTACATTTTTGGATCCATCCAAAATCCATATTACAAATACAATCGATTCCTTTGGCTCTGATCATAAACGTTGTGACATGCCTTGCTGCCTACGCATTTGAAATACTGCATCATTCATTTAAACACGAAACAATGACTTGACAAAGCTTTAAAGCCATCCATTGCTTTAATGCCTTAAAACGCTGCAGCTCACCAAGTTTTGAAACACACCACAACTAATATTACAAAACAGACTATTATGTGATACTTTTTATTCAGCTGTAATTCTAACAAATCAAATCTGTGCGGAATACAACTATCAAATGTTTGTTTTCTTCCTTGTAACAACTCAGATTCACATGTCTGTCTCTCACCAGCACGTCGTTGCAGATGTCCTGAAGCTCAGCCTCGATCTTCTCACGGTATTCGCGCGCCATCTGCTGTTTTTTGTCATTGCCCTCCGTTTTCTGCTCGATGCTGGAGATCACACGCCAGGACGAGCGGCGGGCGCCCACCACGTTCTTGTAGGCCACGGAGAGCAGGTTGCGCTCTTCGTTGGAAAGCTCAACGCCGCCCTCCGTGACGGCCTTCATCGAAGCAGCCATGTCATCATAGCGCTCGGCCTGCTCAGCGAGTTTAGCCTTCTGCACTAGGTCGCTCTTGTCCATGATGCAACTACAAAAGTAGGGATAAAATGCACAATTAGATGATAAAATGCACGTTGCTGTTGAGTTAAAGGTTTCATTAGTGTAGCGCATTATCCAGCCCCTGGTGCCTGTATGCATATAATAAAAATAAACCATGTTTGGTATCACTTAAGAGAGTTTGGCTGACCTCCTTTTGTTGTAAAGGGGTCAACCTTCAAGTTGGTACCTCTTTTGACCTGCACCAGATACTATTATTATTACATTTGGGTCTTATGAATGTTTAAGTCATTTTAAAGATTACCCGTAAATGATTATGTATGAGTACAAATGAAAAGGCACAGTTATGATGTAGCACTGACTAAATGTAAGTTCTATCATCATTGTGAACAATATCCCATAAAATCCCATTTGAGGTTATAACACTTATTGAAAGTATGACAATATAACATCATCTGCTGAACAAGGCTAGTTATACAGAGCTTCCTTAAGATTGATTTAGATGACTTTGAAAATATGCAGTTTCGCACCTTACAACTGCTAGTTAAGCAAGCAAAATAACTTTAGATCCCAAAACAATGCAGCATTGAATTGAATTCAAAGAGCATACCAAAATAAAAGTTGAAACAAAACTGAGCAAATGTCTTTTCGCTATGACTAAAATTCACCAAACTTGTACTTTTGGTATCATCATCTTTTTTTTGTATGCGTCAAATATAAAACATCCCACCATAAGAAAGCTCATCATTATATATCTTTTAAAAAAGAAGAAACACTTAAAATACATTCAGTTTGGGGGTTTTATTGTGCCATATAATGCAATGTTTAAAAAAATAATTGTATCTATCATAAACCACACTAAACCATAAATAATGGCATTATTAGTAGTTAACCTAAAAGATTAATTTCTTGTCCAATAACAAATACATGTTGACCTCAATTACACGTTTTACCTTGTCTTTGCATTGAGTGTTTTCCATTTGTTCTTTGCACCAAATGACAATTATTCAAGTCATATTTAGCTCATACTACACTAAGGCGCAATATAATCCAATTTTAAAAAAGTAGGTCAAAAAAAACAATATTTCGAAAACATTCAGTGGTCTTTCCACCTCTGCATATTATAACAGGTCAAACCCCCTAGATCGCCTCTTCTAACCCCAGGTGTCCCTGACTGCTGCTTAATATGACATTTATCCGTCTACCTTTGTGCAAGGTCATAGAATACGAATCGGAATCGTGATTTTAGCAGGCCAGAGTGGGAATTCCAACTGTCAGCTATCAATACGTGTGTAAGTGCCAACGCCCTGGGCGTTGATGTCCTGAACCCGAACCGCAGGTAACGGTGTGTCAGGCGAGTAAACACAGCCTGTCCAGTTCCTGGAGACCAACCCACCTGCGTGAGCTTGCTCTTCGGTTGGTTAATATGACCGAGGGGGGCCGGAGTACTAGTTAAAATGCGTAATTTGCTCAGGTAGTAGATGACATCAGCTAGTGTCGAACTAAATTTATTTACACATAGGCCCTCACGACGCGTCCGCCATCCTTTGAGACGATTGTTTCGCGATTTCATATGATACCAAGCCACTATTGTGTCAATAAATTAAGTTGAATGCGTTGAAAAATAGTGAAACTACGAATCTGAGCCGCATCAAGCGCCTAACCTTGCTAATACTGCACTGCAGCATATTCAAGGCTCTCCGCTCGAGCTAACAGCTTTAGCCACCAATGCAACGCCCTCTCTCACACGTTCACTTGTGGTTATTTTAATCGAACGCTGTGATTAGTCGCGGCACGTTAAATTTGACCGTTGGTAACCATAATTCACAGGCACGCGCTTTATTCCTCTGGTGTATATTACCATTGACTGGTTAGCCGGTTAGCTTTCACGACGGCCAGACGCTGAATAGACGCGGGAGCCGCTGGTCATTACACCCGTGCAGATGAGGGCTGTTCCGCGCTATCATACTTTGATAAAACGATTATATAATGAAAGTACGGGAACCGCGCGCTTCTAATATAGATCGGACGCAATCGGTAATAAATCGGCAGTAATCGTTATTCATCGCCCGCCTCGGCCTAAGTCCTTGTACCCAGCCCCAAACCACAATAGACACCTTCCGCCATTGACAATGGTGAGGGGGGCTTACATGAGCATCAATACAGCAAAATGCATCTCTAATATTCATAATATCACACGAGCGGCCTTAATGGGCAATGTAACTCACAGTTAAATATATTTCGAGTCCTGATTTGTGTCTGTTAACGATGGGAGTATCAAGCTGTCCTCCGTTTCGCTGCTCGGGGTATTCAGGGCAGTACCACTTCCGCCTGCGCTGACACTTCCGCTTCCTCTAAACTCCACCCCTCCCCCCGCCAATATCCATGGTAACCGCTATCCGGGGTTTCCTACACTGTTTTACACGGTCACTTACGTCACAAGGACCATGGTAACCGAAGTCGTGCGTGACGTAGTTAGTCACCATAGCAACTGTTGCTAGGAGGCGCTCGACAGCTTGCTGAATTCGAAATGGAATCGTCAGAACGTTTGGGTTCGCTTGTGAGATTAATAATAACAGAAGAAGATGTTTACTTCTCTCAGACTGTCTAATAATGTGTATGATTCCTCCTTCCTCCAATGCACATGCATTCTAAAATAAGAACAATTTGAGAGACAATCTCTTATTATTACTACTTTCGTTAATAGTATTTATATATTGAATATTTATTAGTAGGGCATACTTTTTATTTGTTTAGCACTTTCCACACATAAAATCCAGCTCAAAGTGATTCATGTCAGAAAGAGTAGCCAATACAAAACAATATGAAAAGCCATTTAATAAAAATAAGAAAACAATAAGTGTTCAATTAATCATTAAAATAAAAAAGAAGTCAAAATCAATGTCACAAAATAAATAGATAGGCTAAATAGGCCAACAAAAACTGATTTGATAATCTTCAAAAGTGCTTCTTGTACTTTGATGGGGGAAAAGTCAAGTGATCAATGTCTCAGAATAGTGACTTGTAAATAGTGCAGACTCTTAAGTAGGCAAGAATATACATCAACAAATTCTCTAGAATTATTTGGCCATCAAGATTTAGTGCATTTTTGTTGAAGTACAACGATAACAAATAGATTTTTCACCTTATTTTAAATAGGCCAACAATATAAGACAACCAGTTAAAGGGATAGTTCACCCCCCCAAAAATGGAAATTCTGTCATCATTTATTCACCCTCAAGTTGTTCCAAACCTGTATGAATTTCTTTCTTCTGCTGAACACAAAAGAAGATATTTTGAAGAATGTCAGTATAACCAACAGTTTATGGGCCTCATTGACTTCCATAGTATTTTTTTCTCCATACTATGGCAGTCAATGGGGACTATCAACTGTGTGGTTACCTACATTCCTCAAAATATCTTCATTTTTTTTGATGAACTAGGGTTTTATAACATTAAACCCCAAATCAAGCCTTCTAGATCTTGTCATACACAGAAGTCACCAGTAGGGTGTAGTGTAGATCTCTCTACAGCAGGTCAGTCTGGTATAGTTGCTTTTGTTAAACAAAATGTTATATTCTACAAATACATTCTAAGACAGAATAAAGTTTGCCAGTTTAACCCCAAATTAGGCGCGATTTCGAAATGAGAGCATTGCTAAGATCACAATCTACTCTAGAGTTGCTCCAGGAGGAATTTCAATGCAATTACAGTAATTTGATATCAAGACAGAAGACACATAACCTTTTCATTTCTTTTGCATTCATACATGCTATATCGCATCATGCATAATAATCAAGTCAGATGATAAATGAAAATGATGTTGAAGATATTTCTGTATTGTGTTCCACCTCAGCTAGAGCTTTATAATGTCATCAAAATAAGCATGCAAATACCTTTTGAATTTAAGCTGCAATCTTGTATTTGACAGATTTTTAAATATCATTTATGTATCTTAGAAAAAAATATTCTCAGAACATTTAGATGTTCCAATTAAGTTGTGACAACATTATTTCCAAATGTTTTCTCTTCAAAAGTCAATGTTTGATATTTAAAAAAAAAAATCTTATGGGAACGTTAATGGAACATTTCATTATATATTTTTTGCAAACATTATGGGAACCTTATTTTAACTTTACTTTACAGTCCTGTTCCCCTAAAAACCTTACCTTATTCCTTTATTAACCATTACTTTAACTACACTGTAAGTGCACACACTATAAAATATAAGTGCAACTGTTACTTTAGAATGTGTGAATGTTCTGCAACAAATATTAACATTTCAAAAAAAAACTTTTAACTAAAACATTCCATGATGATGTAATGTGTTTATTCTAACATTTTGAGAGAATTATTAAAGACCACACTCTGAGCAAATGTTCTATGAATGTTACTGAAACGAAATAGTTGGAGTCCCTGTTGGGATTGTTTTCAAGCACATGACATGACGTAAGACCTGGATTCTAAAGCTTATCAATAATAATGGATCATATAATCAATAGTAATAATGATTTTATGATTATCTGCAGAGAAACAAAGTTTCTATCAGGCTATCAATCATTCACTTCATTAATTTTGCAATGATCAAGATGGCCTTTAACCTTTCACACTGAGATAAATCCCAAGCCGCAAGTAAACCTTCCTTAATGCATTTTTTTTTTTTTTTGCCAACAATGTCCTCTTTGTAATTTTATGCATGCATATGAGAAATTACAACATTCTCAGTCATCCGTTTGTAGGCCTGCTACAACAAACTAGAGCAACCAAATTTGATGCATGAATAACCAGATTTATTTTCTTTTGTTTGGGAAAAAAACAACAACAACATATTGTTTAATTAACTAAAACCGTATTCTGTACAAATGTGGGAAAAATAGTTTTGATTTGTTTTTAAAAAACACTTCCCTTGATATAAGGGGTACAAGACTTGGCTACTTTTCCTAAGTTTGCCTCCTGAACACACATTTTTTTTGGACTCAATTCTACAATGTTAAGTGGGTGAAAAAAACTCCTTAATCTTGTATTTGGGTCAAAAATGGGCACTCATAGAAATGAATGTGAAAAACTGTAATTTAGAGCATTCTAAAATAAGCTAAAATAAGACACCAGAAGACAGCAAAGTCACTTATTGGAATGATATTTTAATGTAGTTTAAAAAAACATAAAAATAAGCATAATTTACATAGAAAATATGGTAATTTTTGAAGTAAATAAATTCAAAAATACTTCCAAAATAAAAAAACACCATAAATGGATAGACAAAACTTTATCGAAGACAGTGATATAACATTTATAATAAATAAAAATTAGGATCACACCTGAGTCCTCTGTGCCCACATTTGCCCACAATTACAGGATTAAGGGCTATAAAGTGAATACGGTTTGAGGGCTACACAGATACTGCAACGTGAAAGAATGTTTCAGTGACCAATTGAAAGCTTTTCAGCGATGCTATATCATATATGACTCAGACCCTAAATTAGGGATGGGTTATTTTGGGACAGCAACCCAGATGAGTGAAAAAGACATGGTAATTTTTAAAAAAGGTCTTTATTATTATGAACACTCATTAAAAATGTAAGCTTATCTTTTAAATACCCATCAACGACACATTCTGAAGCCAAATGTCTAAAATTAGTAGATGTATAAATTATATGATTGAGGGGAAAACAGTTTTTTTGAAAGCTTAATGGAAATATCTTGAAATAAACCTAAAAAAAAAAAAAAAAAAAAAAAAGAATCCAGCACAAAAGAGGCTGCTGTACAGTGACGAGTCTGTGTTGCCTGTAGGGACTAGAGAATAATATCAATAGCTCTCAGTCTCCAGGGAAATCTATACAGACCTGCTCAAGGCATGTTCAAGCAGATTTATTTGTTAAGCAATGGAAGGATGTGTTGATGCTGACTTGGTCACCTATTCATAAATCACAGACAAAGTAAATGCCTATATGTGTTATTGTTGCTGTTGTTGTGAAAGCTCTGCACAAAGGGTTAGGAACACAAACCCGTGTTATATTAGTACCTATATAGTATTAAATGTATTAATATGAGCTTTTCTTTTTATATTTTTATCTTGATTTTCATTCAAGTTTCAGTTCAAGCCTAAATGTAGGCCTAAGTTCAAATCTAATATATATATATATTAGATGCATGGTGCTCCTTGTGTTCTGTCTTCTGGTTTGTATTTCCACAGCATGAAGATAATATCTTACGGATTTATGAACAAACCTCTCGTTTTAAAATCTTCCCGTCTGGCATTAGATATGACATCTGCTTCAAACATTGCAATGCTCATGATAACATAAGTAAATCCACTTCACCAGCTAATTAATTACTCTCCAACAGCGATGCCATAGAAATATACATGAGCTACCAAAACTAAGTTCAAAGACAAAATTCTAAAGATGGCTGCCCTCTAGTTTCTCTGGCAACCACAATAACGCACTAAATCCACTCTGAATACCTTAACATCCACTTAGCAACATCCTGGTACCCATTCACAACACCATAGCATTGTGGAAGTGGCTTTTGCACAGTCAAATAATAACACTGACATTTTCCAAGTTCACATCCAGTTATGATTTAGGCCTAATGTGGATGACCCTAGTCACGCAGACTTTCCACTTTAGTCTTTTTTTCCTCTTGGTTGTATTCAAGCCTCAGAAGACACACTGTTTGCCTCTCATGTTGGAGAGTTCAGCTGCCTAATGGAGAGAGGTGGAGATTCTTTACTATGCATGCCATGAAGAGAGAACAGAACTATGCTAGCACATGATATAGCTTTTATGCTAGCATGCCATTTTTAGCTCCTAATCCCTCCCTTGTTAGAAACGAACACAAATTACTGACAGCCTAACAATTGAAAGGATGGAGTGAAGCACAGCAGAGTGGCATATATCATCTTTGCATGGAACATGGATGAGAAACTAGATTTTCCGAGGAAAAGTGAATTGTGCCTAATGCAAAACTCAATCACTGTGGTTGTCAACACGTTGCTATGCAGTTGATTGAGTGTTCTGATTGGTTGCCAGGGTGTTACTTTCTACATTTGGAATCTGTGTTAGAGCATTGCTAAATATTGGCTTACATTTCAGGCAAAGCATATGGATTTTTTTGGCATATGTTACTGATTTTTGTTTCGGACTATTTCTGTCAAGACAACTCTCGGATCGCTTGGCATGGTATTGCTTGCCATGTTTGGTCTTGAAACAAAGCAAATATAACTGCTGCTACAGAGCATACACATGCTGTGAGCAAGTAATACATGCTGCTGTGTAATACAGCATACTTGACTTACTCATATAGCATTTAGGGGTGTGGTCCTGGTCAAGACAATCTACTGAACTCCAAACTGAATGGCAGAATGGGAAAGAAAGGGGATTTAAGCAATTTTGAGCGTGGAATGGTTGTTGGTGTCTGAGTATTTCACAATCTGCTCAGTTACTGGGATTTTCATGCACAATCATTTCTAGGGTTTACAAA